CTCCCCTCTAGTCCGCCATCTCGACCCTTCAACTGAGGAGAAAGGGGAAGATCTAGGGTTTAGGGCGAGCCTACCGTGGTGTGTGTGGGGGATAGGGCACCGTCGCCTAGACCGCTCGACGGCGGCGCACTCAGCCTAGGGCGAGCGCGCGCGCCGGCGAGGGGACCGGCGGCGGCGCTGCTACCACTACTCTTTTCACTGCTTGGCTGCGTGTGTGGTGAACATAGAGAAAGCCGTGGAAGAAATAAGTTCAGGTTTCAAGCGCAACGCCGCGATCGCCGTTTTTATTCCGAGCGAAACGCGCGGGCGACCGTCAGATGTAGATCAACGGTTCAGAACGCATCAAGCTGAAATCGGCCCAGGCGGGTGAGGGAAATCCCGGCCCAGGCCCAGGTTGCGGCGTGGGCGCGGGGGAGCGCGGCGCTAGCGGCCGCCGTGGACCGGATTTCGCTGCTGGGCCGCGACAGCGCACAGCGTGCGAGTGTGTTTCGACCCAAAATGCACAGTAAAGTTTACAAATTGTTTTATCATTTTCAGAAACAATTTTTTTGATTATTTTTGTCTAGTTTAAATCTCTGTCAAAATTTGAACTAACAGAATAATTTTTTTAGAGAGTAAATAAGTAAAATAAAATGCTTCTAAAAAGTAGATAAATTATTTTTTCATGTTTCCGCTGTAAAATTTAATGATGATTATCTTCTAATTAAATTCGAACCAACGAAAGAATTTAGTTTGAAGAGCAGTTACTTTTAGTAAATTGTGATTATGTTTATCCTCTAATTAAATTAGAATCAACGGAAAAACTTAAATTAGAGGAGTAGTCTGATTTGTTTATGTTAAATTATGGTATTGTTATTTTTTAACCAATGTTGATGATAACAATATTATAATGAGTTTAAGGTTGAAATTTGAATCTCTGATAAATTTTACACCAACATGGACAATTTTTCAGAGAGTAGATAAAGACCAAGAAATGCTCCTGAACCAACATGGTCAATTCTTCTAATTAAATTCGAACCAACAGAATAATTTAATTTTAAAGAGTAGTTATATATCTTTCAAGTTAATTTATGAGTTTTATGCATTAATTATATTTTCTGTCCAACGATGATGTAAAATTGGTGTAGAAGCATATTGTAAGTTTTATTTTTTAACCGATGAGATCACTCGGCTGCATATCAACGTGCTGCAATGCTGGGGTATGTAAATGAAAATGTTTGAGTCATGCCAGTTCAGGACAGTTTTTTTATTAGTTTATTAATTTTCTAATTAAATTAGAACCAACGGCAAGATTTAATTTTAAAATAAAGTATAAGTGAATGTTTTAGTCATCATAACTAAATTTTTTGTTATGGTAATTTATATATAAATTTATCCCGCATAGGGAGAAGTTTGACATAGTACTTATGCTAGTCAATCCAGCATGGCAAGAGAAGTTTTGTGACGACTCATATGTTTTTGTATCCCGCATAGCGAGAGAAGTTTGTGTAGCTCTTATCCTATCCTAGTATTGACCATGACACAATAGAAATACACCATCATGGTCAATACTAATCAAAGGACAAGAAAAAGATACAAGCGTGATTTTCAAAAGTACAGTTAATAAAAGACCTCATCGAGTTCTTGAAGTGGAATGGGGAAAGTGTACTCCTATACGGATCAAGAAATAACTTTATTTGTATGGTATAATCATGTGAATAAAGTAAGTCATAAGTGTCTCTTCGTTCACAGTTTTCTGAATAGTTCTCGAAATTATGGCAGTATAGTTCATGCCATATTTCGAGGGGGGAATTATGAGATGAATTAAGAGTAAGAATTAAGATCAATTAAGAAACTACTCTTCATTAAGAGTGAGATAAAGATTTTGATGAATATGACCGTCGGTCATAAAAATGATACCCCTAAGCACAGAAACAACTAAATTCCTGAATTTTTAAAGTTCCGAGAGAAAGATAGCGTAGTCACCATCAAAGATATTAAAGCGGTGCTTAAAGCGTCATGTAAGGTTTTAACAGATTGAACCCAAATAAGAAATTGGAAGATACACTATCTTTATAAAAGATGAGACAATCTGGAGGAGCACGGTATGTAGAGACCTATGACTTGAAGAGAAACGGGACTACGTGCCCACTTCAGTGATTCAAAATAACGAATTTCTCGATACCTGTTGATGTTGTATGACTTATACTACACCTGTCGTTGGCTCTTCGAAGAAAATGAATAATGTAAACAAGGATCTTGTGATACAAGAGCCTAAAGAATCAATTATCTTTTGGCAATGAAGAGCAACAATAGCCCCACATGAAAGTGTCAGTAGTTGAGGCCTCAGAAGGTCTCAAAAAATTAGTAAACCAGTGTTTCGCTGACTATGAAGTCTATGTTAGTGAAGAAATTCAAATGGAGGATGATCCCACCTCAATTGAAGAAGCCATGAGAAGCGTTTACTCGTTTGAATGACAAGAAGCTATGGAAGTTAAAATGAATTCGATGAATACCAACGTTGTTTGGGACTTAAAAGAAAGTCCTAATGGAGCCAAAACAATAGGCTGTGAAATTTCTAATGAGATGCCGCCAGTAGAAATCCATTTATGGGTTAAAATAAGTCTCTAGATAGTAGTATTTGAACTTGATGAAACGATAAGAAAGTTTGGGTTTAAAGAAAATGAGAAGGACAATAGCGTTTATGCGAAGTTCTAGAATGGATAATTATTTTTCCACATCCTATGTATAGCTGACATCCTACTCACTAGTAATAATGTTAATCTGTCATTGGAGAAGAAGTCTTTGTCCTCAAGTTTCAATGTGAATGATCTTGGTGAAGCCTCGTTGGTTTTAGGAATTGAAATTCACCGAGATAGATAAAAAGGGGTATTAGGACTATCGCAAAGGCATATTTAGAAAAGATTCTAAAGAAATAAAGTATGGATGCGAGTAATTCTACGCCTACTCTTTAGTCAAGGGTAATATATTTGGAAACTTTCAGTGTTTCAGGAACCTATATGAGATCGATCAAATGAACATGGTTCCATATGCTTCAGCTGTTGAAAGCTTAATGAGTGTACAAGTAAGAACTTATCTTGACGTAGCTTATGTATCAGGGATATTTTGGCAGAAATTCAGTATAGATATAGATTACTAGAATGGAGTTAAGAATGTCTTGCAATTTTTGCAAAGCATCATAGGCCTCATGCTGAGTAAGAAAGAACACGTACTCTCAAATAGTTGTGGGTACAAATATTAAGTTTTGGCGAGATGTGTAGTAAAATTCATAGTAGTTGCTAACACTCGCAGTTGGAGTATTATTTTGGAAAAGTTCCAATAAAACAGTTATGGTGTCATCAATGAGGCATACCATAGTATAGCTTGTCATGAGGCCTCAGAAACATGCTATAGTGGTTAAGAGAATATGTACCCGAATTTAATAATTGTAGTCAACAGCAATAATCATTTAAAGTAGTTAACTCCTTAGACAACAGGTTAAGTGTGCTGCCAAACACATTGACATTAAGTTATATGTTGTAAAGGAGAAAATCCAGAATTATTTTGAAAACATTGAGCATATAAGTACCAAGCTAGTACTTACGGATCCGCTTACAAAAGGCTAACCATCCAATGTGTTCAGAGAACACACAGTCGACATGGGTTTACAGGAAAGCCTATGATTTATGGATACTAAGGTTCTAGTTGAGAATCTATTTCAAAACAGAGAGGTGCATTGTAGCTGTTTAATCTAATGGCAACTGACCGTGACGATGAGGCACGCTCAATGCACTGATCTGCGATGGAATGAGAAAAAAGATAAAGTAAGTTAAGTTTAAGTCATAAGGTGGGATCAAATGGAAGAATGTTAGATTGATCTCCACCAGTTGGCCCAACGGCCAATTGAGCCCTTGATCCGCGTCCTGATTAGGGCGCCCAGCAGTTCTCCTGGTTGATGAGCCCTCGTCGTGCAACGCTATAAAAAGTAAGATGGGGGCCGGGACGTAAAGGACGTGGTTCACCGTAGCCGTCAGCGCCCTACCGAGGTTCCTGGCCCTAGTTCGATCTAGAAGGGCGCGCCGTAAGCGATGGAAGTCCACACCATCTTCACCGTCGCCACTGGTCCGCGCCTACGTTGGTACCATCGACGATCTAGCGGGCGCTTGCACGGTTTTCTCTACACCGACACATCGCAGCCACCTTTTGTTGGCGACGCCACGACCATGACTGCACTCGACGAGGTATATTATCAAGTCTGTTTATCTAAATTAAGAGTTTCACCCGCTAGATCTACAGATAGAGGTGCGGTAAACTCTGTCACCCTCCACCAACTCATAAGATAGGATTTTCTTTCTCATATCCACCACAGGATCGGAAAACCAACTTGGGCCTTGTTTAAATTGAGGTTAGGAATCAATATTTGGCACTGTAGTATTTTCGTTTGTATTTGACAATTATTATTCAATCATGGTCTAACTAGGCTCAAAAGATTCGTCTCGTAATTTATAATTAAACTATATAATTAGTTATTTTTTATCTATATTTAATACTACATGCATGTGTCTAAAGATTTAATATAATAGAAAGAGAGTGAAAAAAACTTGCAATCTAAAGTAGGCCTTGATTTCCTGACGTAGCACACACACGTACACACTGCTGCGACTAGCAGGAGCAGAAGCACAGCCCAACCCACGCGGGCCACACGCGAATCCAAAGCAGTTTCGCTGCACACACCTTTGCCACGCCGCGGCCGGCGGCGAGGAAGCAACCAAACTGGGGTGGAATCTGGAAGTGGAAAGGGAACAAAAGGAAGGTTTTGGAGGAAAAAATTACAGGGAGACTAGATTGTTCTTCGATCCTCCGGACGACATCTCGCTTGAGGAAACTGTACACTCGCTCGCGGACGCAAACACGTTGCTTGCTATTTACACGCGCACGGCGGCCGGCTCGTCTTGCCGCGAACAAGAGAAGGATGCTGGCACGCACGACCAAGTGGGGGCGGGGAGATTGGAAGGGGGCCGTCACTCCGTCGCAACGACCGCCGCTGGTCGCGCGCGGAGGCTCGGGCTCCGCGGCTGCCGCAGCATCTCGATCAGCGACTCCGCCTGTGCAATCGGAAACGGAAACGGAAGCGCATTAGTTTGCGAGTCGTATTGGGTTAAGCTGAGATGCAAATTGATTGGAGATTTTTGCTGAATGCGGGGAATGTGACGTGGTGTGTACCTTGCTTTTGAGCTTGGGGCGGGCGGAGGAGGATTGGGAGAGGGCGACGAGGGGCGGGATGGCGCCCTCGCGGGCGACCATGGTGCGGTAGACGGCGTTGTCCTCGCAGATCTGCAGGAGGGAGAGGGTGGCGATCTCCTTCTGCCGCGAGGTGCCGACCTCCACCATCTCGACCAGGACGGGGATGCCGCCTTCCTCGACGGCGGCGGAGCGGCCCTCGCCGGAGCTCACGAGGGAGTGGAGGACGTACGCGGCCTTGTCCACCATGCCGGACTCCGGGTCGGCCATGAGGTCCAGCAGGGGCCGCACGGTGCCGGCCTCCACGGCGCGCTGCCGGTTCTCGCGCGCGCCGCTGCAGAGCGCGTACAGCGCCGTGGCGGCGTCCTTCTTCCCCCGCGCGCCCCCGGTCTCGAGGAGGGAGACCAGCAGCGGGACGGCGCCCGCGCGGCCGATGGCGGCCGCGGAGGCGCCGTCCAGCTGGGACAGCCGGAGCAGCGCGCACGCGGCGTTCTCCCGCGCGGCGGGCGACGCGGCGGACTTGAGCGCGAGTACCAGCGGCCGTATCGCGCCCGCCTCGACGATGATCGCCTTGTTCTCGTCGCAGATGGAGAGGTTGAGCAGCGCCGTAACGCCGTGCTCCTGCAGCAGCGAGTCCGCGTGCGACAGCAGCTTGACGAGCGGCCGGACGCCGCCCGCCGCGGCGATGCGGACCCGGTTGTCCGGGTTGTGCTTGGCCAGCAGCCGGAGCTCCATCGCCGCGCGGCGGAGCGAGTCCAGCGACGGCGACGGGCACTCCAGCTTGGCCACAAGCGAGGAGATTGCGTCCTCCGACGCCTCGGCCGCGCAGGAGAGCAGCAGGCGGTGGATGCCCGCGGCGGCGGCGGGCGTGAAGGAGAGGTCGTCGCTGCCGCACTCGCTGAAGGGCTCGGAGCAGGAGGAGTCGCCGCTGTCGCTGTAGCAGCTCGTGCTGCGCCGCCGCGGGGAGGTGGACGCGTCCGACTCCATCCCCTTCGTCAGCCTCGTATCGCGCGGCTTGGCTCGGAGCTGGAGCAAATGCCGGAAGGCGGCGAGGCGACGCGAGGGGGGAGGGCGGAGGAGACCGGGAGGCCGAGTGGGGAATGGAATTGGGTTCTTTGCTTTGCGTTTGGATGGAGAGGCGAGCGGTGGCGACGCGACGAGCGAATGAAATAAGGAAGGGGTCGGGCGGACCCTCTCGCGTTAACTAATCCACCCTTTCAACTTTTTTCTCGGCTTCATCTCTACCGCGACAGTCGAATGGCGCGAGACGCGGTGTGGATCGCCAGCCGTTGGATCGTGGCGCGACGGGGGAGGAGGCGGGCATCTCGTTAGCGGCAGACCGGCGGGCGTGACACGTGAGATGGGCCCCCACCGCGCGCGTACGTACGGGCACGGGTGCACGTGAGGGCGGCAGGGCGCGTGCGGGTCGGGACAGGTCCACGTTGGCGTGCACCACGCTGGGCTGTCTCGGGTGGTGGGCAGGCTTACCTGGCGCCGCAGGCTCGCGGGGCAGTGACCCGTCGAAATGATGAGGGGCTTCGATTGTTGGGGGAATGAAGGAACGGATCAGGTCGGGTAGTTGCGAGTTGGGTTGGGCTTCGGCCTGTCCGCTGATTTGAATTTGAAATTCCTGCCATACGATGATAGGAATGCAGTGCATGGAAACTATACTGTTGGTCGCAGATGGTTTCTACGGCTGATAAGCCAACTGAAACTGATTTGTTGTGAGAGAAAAATATTGTTCTATGGTGGATAAACCCGGCTGATAAGTTAAAGTAAAGAGGACGTTAAGAGACAAGCGTCACAAGGGAAATCTGGTTCGGATAGATTATTATAGGAATGCCATTATTATACTTGTTCTCTACGTATCAGTAGGCCGTAGAGTATGAAACTACCAACTATAGCACTCGCGATCGTTTAAAAACTTTCACTTAGCCCAAGACCTACGCGTGTTCCAATTCCAAATCACTAACCAATGACCAAGAACAGGAGCAAAAATTCACAGAGCCCTTGGGTCTTTTTATTTGAGAATAAATCCGCTCGCCTGAATCACATGCGACGCGGCTTTGCCGCGACGGAATTCTTTCTTGACGTTTGAAAAAGGCAAGCTGCTGCGATATCAGCAGGACTGCAGGAGCTTCGTATCCCAAAAGGGATCCGGTGCGGGCGAGTACGTCTGCAGCGACCAAAAGCGAGTGAACCTTTTGCTTGAATCACTCTGCAGCGAGGTGAAGAAAGTACACCGCGCTTGACCAGAAACGAAATTCGCTGGTAGTTTCAGACCAGCCAGCCGGCTGAACCCTCACGCTTTATTATTCACCAATCAATCAAACAGTATTTTTTTCTTATAATAAATCAGTCGAAACAATATTTTCAGCTCCAGACCAGCGGACCGGGCCGATACATCAACGCCGACGCGGCTGTTGCCGCACGTGCCTTGATTTGACCTCGTGCGGTTGTGTCTCTGCGAGGCTGCGTCATTTAGCACTAACAGCGCGGCTTCCTTGCTCTCGAATCTTGACTGACTAGTGAAGAAGCGAGTGAGAAATGACTGTTCAATAGAGATAGTCTCCTTGATTAATCATGGCCTGATTCCGTGGTTGCAGCTCGTTTTTTTTGACTGAGGCCCTGTTTAGATTCCACCCAAAATCCAAAATTTTTAAGATTTCCCGTCACATCAAATCTTACGGCACATGCATGAAGCATTAAATGTAGGTAAAAAGAATAACTAATTGCACAGTTTGCCCGTAATTGGTGAGACGAATCTTTTAAGTCTAAATAGTTCATAATTGGACAATTTTTACCAAATACAAACGAAAGTGCTACAGTAGCCAAAAGCCAAAAATTTTCGCATCTAAACGGGGCCTAACCAACGGACACAATTCAGTTTGGTTTTGGAACTTGGCAGGTTAAATGACAAGTATATGTATGAACCATGTCTCGCCATGGCACAGACCATCGGAGGAGGTGGCCAGACAGGTTTAGGGACTTAGGGTGGAGGAACCATGACCATAGCGACGGCTGGGAGGCTCCGGTGAAACCCTACAGTGCGCTCAATATCGTGGTCCATCGAGACTCGGTTTCGTTTCGCTAAAATTTAGTTTATACTGATTTATTACGGAAGAAAGACATTGTTTCTTCGTTGAAAATTACTCAGTGCTGAACGCAAGTATGGCGCGAGAAGTACTACAGTTAGGTGGATCGGCCATTGCAAACATGTACGGTGATTGACGGGCCTTCCTGGTTTTTTTTTCCCTTCTGATGAAACCAGTTGGGCCGTGCCGGACATTTTTAGGCATATTTGACGTGTGGCCTTTGGGTCGCCGCATGGGGCCTTGTCCGTATCGGGCCTAAAATTCTGCAAATGGATTGGGCTCCCTGGATCAAGGCCTCTTTTGGTTGGGCCACTGGCCTGCTCCAAGCCATCGTAGTCCGCACGCAACGCTCGCTCCGGCCGCCGCCGAGTTACCGTGCGGTCTAGCCGCATCGCAACAGCCATCGTAGTCCGCACGCAAGTTACCGTAGTAATTTAATAGAAGTAGTGTAGTTAAGTAGTCATTTACTATAATAATTTACTATATTAAAATTAAATAAATAATTAGTAAATAAATAATTTACTATAATATAAACTATAATAACTATAATATAAACTATAATATAAGTAGTTAAGTAGTCAACTAGAGGGTATTGATATATATTAGGATCTGATGTGATTTCTTGGTATATTAAATATAAGATTAATACTTCAAGTTGTTGAGTTGAGAAAGAGATGCTTGAATCAAAAGAATTCCTTTTTTGAAGTTCAATTTTTATCAAAGGACAATATAAATATTACACCATGTTCCATTAAAACACTCAAGGGGTTATATGATATATCGGGTGTAGAAGTATTGCAACTAGGAGAGCCCGGAAGCCATACGAGACACGAGCTCGTCGAGCCGGGCAGGGCTTTAGGTGCAACAACAGCCCTAGATTTGGCCGCTGGAATCAACTTGCTCCCACTGCACGCGGGCCCGGCCGCGGGCGGTACCCAGTCCGCCGCCCGCCCGCCCGCCAGCCCGCAGCGACGCGGTATATTTCAGCCACGGGCCTTATCAGGCCACACCAGCCGACAACCAGACGCGCCAGGGTTTCAGGCATCACCGAATCCCCCCACCGCCCCCGCCGCCCTCCTGCTTCCCCAATTCCCCTCGGCCCCGCCTCCTCCCCTCGCTTCCGTCCTCGGTAAGGAACCCTAACCCCGATCCTTTCTTCCTCGAACCGATTGGTTCTCACAGCGCCGTTGGTTCTTATCGATCTGTGATTGTGCGTAACGTAGTGGTTCGCGAGTCTATCGGACCCGATCGGGTCGTGCAGGGCGTTTGCTTAGTAGGTTGTTAACGGAATCGTCAAATTCGGTGGCGATAAGGGGGTTTGATGTTTGTAGTATGACTTGTTTTCGTCTGATTGTGTCTAGTTCTGAGACGATCTGCCGTCGCGATTCGAGATCTGTTACGGCTGACTGTTACTCTCAGTTCCTTAATCTGCCCACGAGTTATTAGGTGTGTATATTTGTAGATCCGTGCTGTATATTAGTCGAAGGTTTTGCTTTTTGTTCTGTTTGATTCGATCGGTATGTCGGAGGGTATGAGTGGGGATTTTATAGAACACCGAGTTCTTATGTTCGATAATTCTTGGGGGTGGGCGGGGAGGGGTAGGAGGAAATATTTTTCCATTCTGAGTTAGTGAATTGTTGTTTTTAAATTCACAGTGTGGTGCTTCGATTTAAGAAAAGCAGGCTGTACATATCTGTTAGAGGCTTAGAGCGCCCATTGATCTACACAAGCAAGCACTGAGGAAAAGCAGTTATTGTCTAGTTTGCTAGCTACATTCAAGTTATTTGTGCATTGCTTGCAAACTGCACTTGTCTCCTTATGTATTTCATCGCCCAGATGATTTTCTATTTAGGAGGCCTTTGTTTTTTTATGCCATGCCATTCTATTTGAAGGTGGAAATACATAAAATTGTTCATCTAGTAGTTGCTAATTTGTCACAACTCTAAAGCTAATGATTTCTTAGTTGTGCAATAGAAACTTACTGTCTTGGATGTTAAGTTGGATGTTAAACATCAGATGTGCTAGTTGGAGATGAGCTTGAGTGATCTTTAAGATTGCCGTATACTCGAAAGTTACAACACTCCAAGCTGTCCTAAGCTACATTACGACATAATTTTGTGGGCCAGTGTTAAGGGCAAGTTCTGTATTAGTTGCATCTTAACTTATAGCAAGATCTTCTTAATTTGTTGGCTGATGTGTGTTAATTGATTTCCTTTGTTTATCTTTCTACTATTCTTTTCATTTGTGAACCCAAAACTTCTAGCAAATTAAAAGTGGTTTCCTTATAGGATGGCGATGTCTTGCTGGACATTGCAAAGTAATTTGAGATTGAGATGTCTACCAATAGAGCACACACTGTGTTTCTGTTTACATGTATATGAAACCTTACTGTTTTCAAGCCTTGAATGGTTCACTGTTGGCACTAAGGAACCATTGCTAGCAAACTATGTCTCGTATTTGATTAGAGCATTTTTCATTACTGGATTTTTTTGTCATAAATCTGTGTTGATGTAGTCTTTATATATAGGCTGTATGTTGCTTGTTCTTTAATTCCGAGTCTGGATTGTGTAAAGTGTGCTAGTTCCATTGAAGTTATTTCACTTGGCCAAGCTTTATTGTTTACATAGAAGTGCTGTTTCATTTTTTGTTTGCGTGGCTAATTAAGTTGGATGTTAATGGTGGTTCGAGTGGGTCGTGAGTAACTCAATTCGTGTTAACCAAAACAAAAGAGGGAGGGGGTAACTCCTACTGCAATTTTTTAGTACGTTCTCTATCTTCGTTTTTTAAGTGATCTCTTCAAATCTCTTATTTTTCCGCTGGCTTGTTTGATTTCGTGGTCTGCAGGTTAGCTAACCATCCAGGTTCTGTCAAGATGTCTGATAGCCACGAGACTGACAGGAACATTGAGATTTGGAAGATTAAGAAGCTGATCAAGGCATTGGAGTCAGCCAGAGGCAATGGCACAAGCATGATCTCTCTAATCATGCCTCCACGTGATCAGATTGCTCGAGTGGCTAAGATGTTAGGTGATGAATATGGAACTGCATCAAACATCAAGAGTAGAGTTAATCGCCAGTCTGTGTTGGGTGCCATCACCTCAGCTCAGCAGAGGTTGAAGCTCTACAACAAAGTGCCTCCTAATGGATTGGTTCTGTACACTGGAACTATTGTTACTGAAGACGGAAAGGAAAAGAAAGTTACTATTGATTTTGAGCCCTTCAAGCCTATCAACGTGTCGCTCTACCTTTGTGACAACAAGTTCCACACTGAGGCTCTAAATGAGCTCTTGGAATCTGATGACAAGTTTGGATTCATTGTCATGGATGGTAATGGTACTCTTTTTGGCACACTAAGTGGCAATACCCGTGAAGTGCTTCACAAATTCACTGTTGACCTCCCAAAGAAGCATGGTAGAGGAGGACAGTCTGCTCTCCGTTTTGCTCGGCTTCGGATGGAGAAACGCCATAACTATGTCCGCAAAACTGCTGAACTTGCTACCCAGTTTTTCATCAATCCAGCTACAAGTCAGCCTAATGTTGCAGGGTTGATTCTTGCTGGTTCTGCTGATTTTAAGACTGAGCTAAGCCAATCTGACATGTTCGATCAGCGACTCCAAGCCAAGATACTCAATGTGGTTGATGTTTCTTATGGCGGTGAGAATGGTTTCAACCAAGCTATTGAGTTGTCTGCTGAAATTCTTGCAAATGTGAAGTTCATTCAAGAGAAGAAGTTAATTGGCAAGTATTTTGAAGAGATCAGTCAGGATACTGGGAAATATGTTTTTGGTGTGGATGACACCCTAAAGGCTCTTGAAATGGGTGCTGTTGAGACCCTGATAGTGTGGGAAAATCTGGACATCAACAGATATACGCTCAAGAACAGTTCTACTGGGGAAATTACTATAAAACATCTGAACAAAGAGCAGGAAGCTGATCAGAGCAATTTCCGTGACCCATCCACCAATACGGATCTTGAAGTTCAGGAAAAGATGTCTCTCTTGGAATGGTTTGCCAATGAATACAAGAAGTTTGGTTGCTCGCTGGAGTTTGTGACCAACAAGTCTCAGGAGGGATCACAGTTCTGTAGAGGATTTGGTGGCATTGGTGGCATGTTGCGCTACCAGCTGGATATCCGTTCTTTTGATGAGCTTTCTGACGACGACGATGTGTATGAAGACTCTGATTAGCAATCAGCCAACCTCATGCCTGTGCTGGCCCATGGAAGGACGCAACTGCTCGATCTCGCTATACCTACGCAGGAACACACGAAAAGCAAGTGTAAGATTCTATCTGTGTTGTGTCAAAGATATATGTTTTCTGCATTATTCCATACTATTTATGTTTGACTATTCACCCCCTTTGTTTCAGATCCAAAGATTAATGGGCATGGGCCAGCCTCATCCTCTTCAGGAGGAGCGTCATCCTCTTCAGGAGGAGCTTAAGACAGAAGATGATTTTGAGTCACTTTCATGGCAGTAATGTGACAAGAAGATACCTTACTTAATCACAATCATTGGAGTAATGCATCGAGAAGAATACCGTTCTAAGTGCACAAACCATGGCAGTAACGTGCCAAGAAGTTATCGTATTTTAAGGGATGTTTAATTTCCTATACTATATTCATCATGCTAGTACTGTGTCATGGAGTTATACCTAAAATGGCTAACGATTGCCGTTGCCTTGTGCTTTTATGCTGTGTTATTGTCTTTTGCGAGTGTGTACTAAGGTTGTTGCTTTAATGCTTTGTGACTCTGATTGCAAGCTGCTACACTGCAGTTTTTGCGACGACGAAGCTATGATATGGATTACGGTTCTGTGTGATCATGTTGCCTCTTTTCACGTTTAATTCCCTGGTGCAACTATATTTGGATGACAATTTCACCGGTGACTTTACTTTGCACTCTTTTTTTTTTACTTATTAAATTGTTGCCGGTAGGTTGGCCAAGTTAGCCTCGTGCGTCTTCTTCGTTAGGATCCTGGTTTTCAGAGTGCTTCTTTTGCTCTATAAAGTTCCGTTTCTCTTTAAATTCTGAATTCTGAGACTCTGGGTGAAAACAAAAGAAGGCGATCGTACGGATAGGCCGATAACATGCTCTCCGTAGGACCGTAACAGCGGTCTGAACTCTGAACAGCCCGCGCGCCCAAGCATAAACAGATTTACAGTTACTACTAATGCGGTCAGGTTTTACTACAATTACTTGAAACGTGTTTGGATATATCCTTTTTCGATTGGGTATGGCTTCAACCATTCCTGGGGCATGCTCCGTCAGCGTCAAGCTGTCTCCGGGCACGTGATGAACGTATATGCTCAAACGGCCAAAGCATGTTCGCTTACCTGAACTCTTCATTTTTAATCTGAAAATACTCATTCAAAAGAAAAACTCTATGAGAAAGTTACAGAAGATTATGGGAGAACTAACCCTAAGAAGATTTATGGAAGATAAAGAGGTGCACTAACCCCTAATTTATTTATTTAAAAGGAAGATGTGAGAAAGATGGCTGCGTTGAAACCAATGATGATAACGATAAAAGAGCCTGAGCCAAAGTTTTATCATACAGGGTTTTCAATAGATACTGTACTGCTAAGCTGGGCCGTGCAAGCTGCTTACGTTGGGTCATGCATGGAAACATTTACAGCCTATAGCATTCATCATTATCTGGATGATTTAGGTCAGTTTTCAGGGTTACAAACCACAATGGCAGGCAGCTGTGGATCCTAGTATTGGTATGAAATGAGAGAAAAGTAGTTCATTCTCTCGCTAAATAATTTCTTCAAGTCATAAGTCATTTAGATAATCACAAACAATCTGAACGCCCCGTCGCATGCATACATACATTTTAGAGTTTATATATAAAAAAAAAGGCTATCAAATTTTGATTTAAAAGAGAAGAAATATATTCTGGTTGGGGTAACTGCTGTAGGATATTTTCAGGGAACATATTGGTTGTGGTTTTGGGTAGTGCTACAGTGTGATGATGAAACAAAAGAGTCTTTCTGGTTAGCGAGTAGAAAATTAGAGACCACTGCGCTGAAGCTGTTCGCTTCTCATGGATGGAAATTTAATAATAGACTCTGTCATGCATAATGTTTACATTTCTTGTTTATTTGAATCATCAGCAATATCGTTGAATTTATGTAATAATGTAAACGCTGTGTGCTGTGACGTAGAAGCGGGAAGTCTCTTCCATTTTCTAAAAATCTTCCATTTCCTTAAAAAAAAAAGATGTGGCGAAGAAGAGAGAGTCGACTATGCCATTTCACGGGTCCATCTGCCAAATGTAACAAATTTTGAAACTGAAGAAAAATGAGCACTAGATTCTTCTGAACGAAATGAACACTCGAGACAGAACGTTATATAATCCCCATTTTCCACCCGATGAGGTTATTCATCCTGATTGAAGCTCGAAAAAGAAATATGGGGCAGCTGAAAATACGTCTTCTGGAAGGTCAGGTCTTTTTCTTTGCTGATGAACGTTCCACGTCAGGGTCGTTAGCCACGTAGTACGTCGTGGCGACGAATTTTCTCAGGAAACAAGTAGCAGTCGCGAGTCGCGACCCTGCTGCTGCGCCGTCGCGCGGCAGTTCAATTCGCGGGCAGAAATCTTTGGCCCGCTCTACGGCCAGGCGGCGGTTGCGTGGTCAGATTCCCCGCAGGATCGGCGAGCAGACAGCCGAAACCGGAAGCGCGGATAAAATAAACTCAGCACCTGCAGTCGCAACTCGCAAGACTTGCCCTCATGAACAAATTCACAAGATGCACGCGTTTAGCATGCTCCGTCAAGCTGATAATATAATGGCAGCAGCAGTCAGCTTCATTCAGTCTTTGAAAAGAGGCGTACAATTGCGCCCGTGCATCTTCCTAGCTAACTGCAACATCTGGCCCTGCCAATACAATCATGATTCGCGTCTTCGCGAGCATCATATATCAGGACTCGTGGTAAGCGTGCATGTCCGGGCACGTGATGAACGTGCTCATGTATGCCCACACCATGTTTATTTACCTAAGCTCTTTTTATTATTATTAGAACATCCCAAATTCCAAAAGAATTTGTACTTACAAGGAAGATGAAGTCATGCAGACAAGTCGTGGCGGTGGAATGACTTGTACTCCGTATCAAGTACGTACCGCTAAAGCCCAAATGGATGCACTCTAGCTGTTCGTTAAAAAAAGATACACTCTGACTTGTGACCAAGCCCGGAACCGGATTAGATGAAAACCAACGGCCAATGTCTATCCTGATTTCAGTCTCAAGCTAACTCTGATCAGATGAGCTGTCACTCTCAGCATCATGACGTAAAAAGGATGATTAACACTAGCTCTATTAGAACCATCGTCAGTTGGTCCAAGATAGACAGACAGCCTCTGCTGACGAGGCTATCGATACAGTGGTGCGGACGGCGGTTCCGTGACTCCGTGTCCGTGTCATCGCGTGTGCATGCACCCTCACAGAAGAAGATCCCTCTCTCCTTCTGGTTGCCCACTGTTTCGCACGGGCAACAACATCAGGTCATCAACAACTCCATCGCACCAACCGGGGCAAAACTTATCCGAGACCGGTCGGCCGGATACCAGGTTCCCCAGCTGACCATGTGACGAAATGGATTCCAGCAGGCGGCGGCCGCCTGGCCGGTGAAATTTCCCAGCTTGCCGCGGCAACCAGTCAAACCCTCAAACGCCCACGTCCGCCGGCGCGCCGCTATAAAGCCACACCACACGCACCCAGCGGATCGCAGTCATATCATCACTACAACAGAAGCGCGAGCGAGCACGCAAGAGACGAGACGAGAGGCACGCTTGCCGAGACGAGAGGCACGCTTGCCGAGACTCGAGAGCAAAGGAAGGCGACCACCAGCGCGAGAAATCGAAGAGGATGGAAGGGCTGATCCCGTTCGTGATTGACGCGATCAGGAAGAGCCACGAGCGGAGCGGCTACCGCTCCGTCTCGTCGGACGGCGGCAGCTCCCGGGGCGGGGGCAGCAGGCGCCACCTCATCGACTACTCGGAGCTGCCCGACGCCGCCGCGGCGAACGTCGGCGTCGACAGGCCGTCCGGCACGCTGCACCGCCGCGCGCGGTCGGGGGACGTGGAGACGATGGCCGGGCGTCGCAACGAGGAGTACGCCAGGCCGGCGCCCATGGTCGCCGGACCGGCTTATCGCCGGAAATAAGGGGCGGCGTGCATGCAGTGCAGCCTCTGAACTTTGGAGGACTCGTCGTGAGCATCTGCAGTTCAGCATGTTGGGGTCGCGAGGTTGCTGCTTAATTAGTTGGTTACGGATTTGCTCTGTTTGTTAAATTAGCCATGCATGTAACCTAAACAAAGCTGCGAACTTGTGAGCGTAACAAGGCGCTCACGGCTCGCATTCTCTTATAAGGTCAAAGTGAAAGCTGTCTATATTTTTGCTGTTCCGAAGGGGAAAAAAAAAAGAAGAAATGTATATATATGTCGCCGTTGTTTTTGACTTGTGTATTCCAATCATGTCTGAAATGAATAACAGAATGGTGGAGAACGGAAAAGTTCAGAGGTCAAACGCTCATGCTCGTGATGTGGGCTGCGCGTGCATGCCAATCAGAGTATGATCAGCTCACGTTAGCAAGCCAAGAAATGCATGGCCATGAATCTGGATAGCTTCTAGATCGGCGAATTTTGGCTCGGGCAAGGACTGGGTTCTGAACTTTTGATCTTTGCTACCGCGGACAAGTCGCCTCCCAGCTGTGACATGTAGCTCTCGCATGCTCTGTCTCTGCTGCTCTGCGCGACCGCGTCTTTGGAGCTCGTGTCTCGCTCTCGCCGCGTGGATCGGTGCATGCAAACCCAGGTCTCGCATGTATTTAACTGTAACTGTATCTACTGTAAGTCAAAAATTGAAAAGGTTATATGAATGTTAAGGATATCCATTCCATGAAACAGGTTCCTATTTATTTATATATTTTTTTTTACTGAAGAACCTGTTGCATATGCAGTGTTCCTGAGTCAAGCTATGGCTAGGCTAGAGAGGCACTTATTGATCTGTAAAACTACAGCTGGATCAGTCACAAACTGAAAATTCAGAGGTCAAGTTCGCGATTCATGATTTGTGCATGCCAATCTGTGTGAAATCTCAAGTGGCCGACTCATGAGCCAACGTGGCATCTCATGATTCAACTCTTCTTTACCTCTGAGAGAACAAACAAATAACCATACACTGACAAAAGAAACAACTCTGCTTTTTGCATCGATACACCAGGTTACTATTTGTGTATGTGATCAAGATTTTTCAATTTTATGTAATAAAACTATGTAAAACTATGGCATACTTATCTTCTTATATGATATAGGAAAGCTCTAGCTGAAATTTCAAAAAAAAAAACTAGCTAGGCAAAATAATAATTGTGGACAGTAACACTTACAGAAATGGCTGAACATGGTCTAGTTCGTTTCGCTGAAAAGCCAGACTAAAAAGTACCATTCGCTGATTTGTTGTGAGAGAAAAATATTGTACCATGCCTAATAAGTTCAAGCGAACAGGGCCGATCACAGCAAACACAACCACGAATTTGTTTAGTTGTGGACCTCTCTCAAGAACACTAGAGGAGAGAAAACTAAGAGAGAACGAGAAAAACGAAAATGAGAAGAGGTGAGGGTGATGGGGCACCCTCATCCTATTAAACAAAGCTATTACACAATCCCAGTTTTGCCCCTAGATATTTTTGAGCCGAAACCAGAAGATCTTTTCCACCATATCAAAGCTTACGTGATCTCATTGACGGATCTAGTCATCTTCGCCCCTCCTTTCTCTCTTCCATGTCTACAAAAATTAAGAGAGTTCCATTGTCGTAGAAGTGGTAGGGGGCTTGAGCCCCCACTAGACCACAGTACATGTACGGTGCCAGCCTTTCTCCCATTGATCAGGTTGAACCCTAGAGCAAGGATGTTGGCGAGGCAGGTCCGGCAGTCGGCCGACACAATGTCGAGGGTGCACTGCGCTAGCCCGAAAAGCAGCTTTGGCCGGCTTTGCTTCCCTCTGGCCAGCTGCAGCACCCCCTTGTCAAACCTGGTGGAGGAGTTCGCCGCGTAGTCTGCAACGGCGTTGACGAGCACACTGACATCGGCATCGAACAACGAGGAGGACACAAAGCCGTCGTTGTTGTTCATCGTGGCGCTGTTGTTTGCAACAACCTCCCAAATCCATCGGTGGTGTCGGAGTCGAGGATGAAGTCCTGGTTGGAGTAGCGAAGGACGCATCGGTTGTAGTAGACGGCAGCGTCCTTGCCATAGATGCACAGCTGCCGCGCGTCCTCCAAGGCACCCGTGAGGAAGGTGGAGGCGTCGACGTCGCCACGGCACTGTGCAAGGCCGTGGACGACGTCGGGAACGGACCCCATCGTGGCAGTGGCGAAGAGGGCCCTGGAAGAGGCCGCCTTCCTAGGGAGGGTTGTGTCGAGGAGCTCAAGGCTTGCCTCGTAGGTGTTGTTGGCAGTGTAGTAGGACGTGGCACCGTAGACCTTGCCTAGGATATCGTCGGCCGCCAGCGAGGCAGGGTACAACTAGAGCTCCGAAAGAAGCAGGTCACCATGGAGAACTTTGCTCAAGGCTTGCTTTCAAGCCTTAAGCGAGGCTTTTGCCTAATTTGGTCAGGCCTTGAAATCAATTGTGATGCAAGCTGCACCGATGTCTCTGCCGCCGCTAACATCACCTTTGTTGTTGCTACCACTACATGTCTGGGCTTGCTTGATTCCAAGCCACACTTGGTTAGTTAATCATAGGTGCCTTATTCATCACAACTTTCAACAAGGGGGCTCAAGCCCCCTGCCCCTGCATTGGTTGCAGATCCGCATTACCTGATGCACCATCGAGCCAAAAACCTTAAAACGCAAGTCCAAATACAATAGTCAACCGCTTGTCGGTTCAACTGACATTGACTTATTTATATCATGTACTGCTCTCCGGTCCTCTTAGCGGAAGAGAGGCGTGAAAAAATGCTCTTCACCAAGCTCTCCCATGAGCACACGGTAAAAGATCTAGAGAGAAATAGGGGAGGGTTTGGGGACTGGAGGCTGCACTATGCTTTTCATTGTTTTTTTATGGTGGGTGCAAAAAGAGCTCCGAAAGAACCCGACTGCCGGGGAGAACTTTGCTCAAGGCTTTCAAGCCTTGAGCGACGCTTTGGCCTTCTTTGGCAAGGCGACGAAGGAGATTGCTCTTTGATTAGTGCCGCCGCCACCACCATCGTCGCCTTCAGCATGTGCCAGGCTTGCTTGGTTCCAAGTCACACTTAACAGGTTAACCATGGGTGTTTTTTCATCGCAACTTTCGGCAAGGGACAAGTTGTGCCTATCTTCATGGCCAGACCTTCCTCTGTCTTCATACAACCACCATTCTTCTATGTTGTCCCAATTGAGGACTTACCAATGATATACTCTAAGAAGTATGGAAAGTCTATGTTGGTCACTGTCTCACCTTGCACACACCCGTCCCTATCTCTTTCATTCTTGCCCTCCCTCCGCCGTCCTCCCGCCACGTCATGCTACGGCAACCCAATCAATCTTCGTCAATCACCATGGTGAGCCCACCCCTCCTCACTCCTCTATCATCGCGTATCTGATCATTTTGTATCCCTTGATTGAAGAATTGGAGCGGGGAATTAGAGCAGGGATGAGAAACGCTTGCTCAGTCTGGCTAGACTAGAAGAATCTTAGTTGCTTGTAGATCATCGTCTAATTTGATCTACGCTCCTGTCTAAACATCGAGTTGTCGTATTATGTCGTTGATCCATCCATGGCTTGACGACACCTTTGACGAGTATATATTGTAATGCATATGTAGAATCTAGAATTCTAGGTTCTACGTGGTAGTAGTATATACGATCTTTTGTGTGCCAGAAGATTAGAAGATTCGCCCTTTATTCGACTTTTGTTGGGTTCTGGGGACGGATACTTGGAGAGAGGGCTGTTCTTGGTCGGGGATGAGTTGGGTTATCTCGTCTTTTCCTTTGCTACGGACGCTTGTGTGAAATGTGGTACGCTTCATAAGAGTAGGAGTAGGTTTCTACGAGCTAGATATCATTATCTGTGTTTGTGTGTTGTTAGTTCCTCCGTTCCTTGGTAATATATGGCCTTGGATTCTTGTAACTAACCGTAACTCTACTTCTACTTAATGAAACACATGTCGCAAAAGCACGTTCACGAAAAAAGGTTTATGTGCTCATGTTAGAGATTTTGGTGGCGTGTAGAGTTGCTGCTTCTGCTACTGAGAACTAAATCCGTTCGTTTGGTTATTTATTCATTTGGAATCACGAAGTGGGGAACTACGGGTTGTTGGAAAAGAACTTGATCTGGTGTGCTCGAGATTTTGGTGTGTTTGTGGAGATTTAGAGTTGTGATTGACTAATTCTGCTATTACATATAAATAAATTGTCTATTTGAATTTGAATTTGTGAAATGGACAAAGGGGAATTTTCACTAGCTACCAGTCCCCTTTTTATTGTTGGGTGGAAGCAGACTAGCAGAGAATGGAGCAAGATTTTTGTTTTTGCCTACACTGATGTTCTGCATTGCTGCCGTGGCACTGCTTTACTCGTTCTTTTCTGACCAACGTTGATGATAACAATATTATAATGAGTTTAAGGTTGAAGTTTAAATCTCTGATAAATTTTACACCAACATGGTCAATTTTTCAGAGAGTAGATAAAGACCAAGAAATGCTCCTGAACTAATAGAATGTATTTTATTATCGTTTTCCGCCACAATGATGTTGATTATCTTCTAATTAAATTCGAACCAATGGGAGAATTTAATTTTGAAGAGTAGTTATATGTCTTTAAGTTAATTTATGAGTTTTATGCATTAATTCTATTTTCTGCTCAACGGTGATGTAAAATTAATACAGAACCACCCCGAAGTTCCTAACCCTAGATCGAACGAGAGGGGCGTTGTGAGCGACAGGAAGCGCCATCGCCTTCGCCGCCACCACAGCACCACACGTGCACAATTTCCCCTACTACGACTCCAGTGGCCATGTCGTGGTGGCGCCGTGGCCGTGACTGTGCATGGCGAGGTACATCACCAAGTCTCCCATCTAAGTCAAATTTTTATCCCCTGATCTACGACCCTAGAGGTCCTATTTTCCATTAATGAAGCACCTCGTATGTTTTAACCGTCGAGATCACTCGGCTGCAAGTCAACAAGG